GAATTGAATGAACAATTTGCTACTTCACTTTTCTCCCTTTTCTTTATTAATAGTGCATTATGTAGAGCTAAGTCTGACTAATGCAACACTTTCGTTTGGCCTCAAATGTTATAGGAATTATTATTGATACATGTAATCATTTCTCTAGACCAAATTAATACATCATACATAATGCACCATTAAGCACTGTGTTTAAAAGGTGTTTCTCAGATGCCTCTAGATTTCCATGAACTATTTCCGAAATGTATACAAGTCTGGTGTTTATAATCTTACGCTGGCTTAACACTAAGGTATGCGTTTAATATTTTTTCTTTCTAACAGCCGAAACTGTCTGCTCAGGCCATTAATTGATACAGGATCATCTGGAATTGTAGCTCCAATACTATGGAATAAACCTCCATAGTATATTCACAGCCAATATTCATTATCAAATTTTCATATAAATCTTAAAACGCATCTGTTTTTAAAAAAGCTTATGATAAACTATCTGAATCATGTCAATTTATTTATTACTTTGAAGATTTGCGATATATTTTTATTAATGAACATCTGTGACCGTTTGCTTTATGCATTCATGTTTTATCATTTGTTTATTGTAAAGCACCCCTGGACATTCTTTGTGGAAATGGCATTATATAAAAATGCTTGCAAACAATATCGCAATAACATTTGATTACTAATGAATGTCACGTGTCTTATTGCCCGGGAGCAGCACATTGAAGGCTGATATTGCGTTCTTTTACGTGCATGCCAATGTGTACACGGGACCTCGGTTTTTCGTCCCATCCGAACGACTACACAGATGTTTTTTTACACGGGATCTCGGTTTGTCGTTCCATTCCAACGACTAGACAACTGCACTACCGCACCAGCACTTCACCCTGCACCACTGACAAGTAGAAACCACGCCGAAATATCTCGGCCAACACCGGTATCGAACCCGAGAATCCAGACTAGAGAGCCAACGTCTTACTTACTTAGCCACCGCAGCTACCCAGATTGCTTTGGAATATGTGACCGATGAATTTATGTCCCCATGCAGTTCCCAAATCAATAGTATCACACGGAAAATGCATCTTCAAATTAGAGCTATTTCGGGAATACGTATCTTAATACGTTCTGATGCCTGCCAGGGTATTGCTAGAGCATTAGTAACATCGCATATGGACTATGCAAATTCAGTTCTACTAGGAGCACCAGCAATAGCTTTAAACAGACTACCAAAAGCGCAAAACAATGCTGCACGTTTCTTTAACTAGAACACGAATCTTTGATCATAAATCAGCTAAGCTACAGAAACTCCATTGGCTTCCAGTTCGAGCGAGGGTTCAATTTTTAAAGCTCTTGTGAATGTGGTTAAATCAATTTATTCTGACACTGCACGCAGTTATTTAAAAGAACTCTTTGATTTCTATACTCCCCGCATTCCAACCTTCGTTCTTTATGTGATCGAAGGATATTGAGGATTCATAAATATAGTAAACGTTCTGGAGAATAATATGCTTTCTCCGACAAAGCAGCTAAAATGTTTCCAAAACATCCCCGAGAACTGTTTTGGTGTGCATGCGTTTAGAAACACTAATGTGTAATGAAGCGCTATATAAATCGAATAATAATAAAAATAATAATATTATGATTATAATAATACAGTATCAAGCAGGACACTTAATCGTAACTGGCACAGTGAGTAATACACTGGCTCACTAACCAGGAGGTCCCGTGTTGGCCGAGAATGTTTCTCGGAATTTTTCGAGTGTGCCCCCTCCCCCCCGCCCCCATCAGTGGTTGATGGGTCTGGTAAGGACAGTGTCTAGTCGTTCGGATAAGACGAAAATTCGAAGTCTCGTGTACGCATTGGCTTGCAGGTAATAGAGCCCTTGACGGTTGGAATTCTATATACAAGAGTAGGTCATAGCGCCACTGTCCTGGCAAGATTTCCCTTATAGTTATAGCACACTCTATGGTGTAAGCCAGTGTGCATTAGTCCAATCGGTCCAGACAAGTAGAACGTTAATCCCCCATTTCATTTCATCTCCCATTGGACTAGTTAACATTATTAAAATTGTACTGTATTTGATGGGTTTAAGTTTAATTTATTAAGAATGCCTGATAACCCTTGACATTTGAGTAGTTGACAAACTGGAGTCTTCTCTTGTTGCCCTCATCACCATGGGAATTTTTAATCCATATATTGAACCCAATCTTTGAATAACCAATTTTTAAAATCGCCAAGGGCCAAACTGTGACGATATTTATCCGTATTATTTGACCATATTTCTAGGCAAGGCCACTCATATTCGAGAAATATAAAATCTGTCATTTCAATAGCGCAGGCAAATGAATGGCAAGGGAGATAACCCATTTGACCAATTTAACAAAAGCTGTCGGAGTCGTTGTGATGCGTCTGAGAAAAGGGTGCACAATAACAAATTAATAACGATCAATGCTGATTGCTACCAAGATAACACACTGTATCGCGCATGATATAACCATCTTCATTACTACAATCGGTGCAGAATAGTAGGGCGTTAAACCCCATTTGATTTTTTTCATTCAAAATCTATTATGTACATTCATATCATATATTATACACTGTTTCACTCCACGTACGTTCATTAGGTTGTAGCGCTGCTGTCGGGTCGAAAGTTCCTTCTTAGCATACTGTATAACGTATGCTCGTCTTCATTAATAGCCCAATCGGTGCAAAAAAATAGAACTTAACCCCCATTTCATTTATTTATGTCTTTTGTGTATATCGTAAATCAGTACATCAAATGACTATACATATATAAATCTTTATACACCTATCACATTCTTATCATATGTCATATTCTGTTTCACTCCGTGTACCTTGATTAAAACTACACTAGGGTATCGTGCTGTTACATAAAACAATGTAATGTATATCATCACGATACAGTGGAGAAATATATCAATATATCATATGAAATATATTGAATTATAGTCAGAATTCTATTCCGTATGGTTAGTACATGTATAGACGAAAGACTTATCTTCGCCATTTAGCTGTTTATTTCTGTGTATGATGCTTTGTAATGGTTGGTATTTTTTTGGGGAAGGAAGACTCATCTTCGCCATTTAGCTGTTTATTTGTGTGCATGATGCTTTGTAATGGTTGGTATTTTTTATGGACGGAAGACTCATCTTCGCCATTTAGCTGTTTATTTCTGTATATAATGCTTGGTATGGTTATTTTTTTATCACATGTAGTACATGTATAGACGGAAGACTCATCTTCGCCATTTTTTTATCACATGTAGTACATGTATAGACGGAAGACTCATCTTCGCCATTTAGCTATTTATTTCTGTATATAATGCTTGGTAATTGTTGGAATGGTTAATTTCATGAATAGACAGTAGACTCATCTTCGCCATTTAGCTATTTATTTCTGTATATAATGCTTGGTAATTGTTGGTATGGTTAATTTCATGAATAGACAGTAGACTCATCTTCGCCATTTAGCTATTTTTTCCTATATAATATGCTTGATAATTTTTGGTATCGTCAGTCTTCTATCACATTTAGATGTATAGACGGAAGAAACATCTTATTTCTGATTATAATGCTTTGTAATTATTGGTATGTTTAGTTTTCTAGTCTAGGTAGAATGATTGTCCTCTCTACCTTTGATTGCTGTTTGTGGGTATAAGATTTGATATTTTTTTAAACAAAATTGAAACATGTAGTTTCAATCCCGATAATATTTTGGAGACTAAAACTGCTTAATTTTGTGTTAAAATCCCTTAAAATCCTCTACATAAGAGCCGAGCTACTAATTCAATATAATTAAGTGATACGTTTTCAAACAACTTAAACCCGTGAGTCTTCATCTGAAATTGGAGACCGGTGTCCAAAGCTGTATTATGCGGTGTCTGGATAAAACCAGACTTTTATTTTATAAAAATAATGTGTAGGTGAAATTTACCTTTCGTTATCAAGTACAGCACATGGGTCATTCCTTGTATAAACCTTTAAAGGAACGGGAATCGATTATCAGGTCACACAAGGAAACAATTAACCCAAAATCTTAAAAGGGTTAGGTGCCCGGATAAGTAGTTTTGAGGTTCACGTCCAAACGACTCAATTTTTTTAGCTGAAATTTTGAGACAAGGTAAATACACCATTCCTCTATATTTTGGCACATAAATTTCATACGTACTCAGACTTTTATTTTTGAGACTCTGATCATAGCGGCATAGTCCCTTTTATTGACACGTTAGTGTTGCATGCTTTTGTTTCGTGCGACAATAGCAACCCAGTATATATGTACTGTATGTTTAATGTATTTCAAAAAGAAGAAGTAAAAATGGTTGATTGGGCGTATGTTTTATTTATTTACGTATTCATCTACCGTAAATATAGAAGTACGATATAATAGTATACATGCGTGTGTATGAAAAAGTACTTTAAAATGTTAAAGTGTTTTTAAATCAATTTGTGTCGGCATACCTTTTATCTTTTCATCGCTTGCCGTGAAACAAAGTAGTGTAGTTTTACGGTTATGCTAATTTATTTTATGATCAGTAGTGGAATACCGCGTTTTATCAGTGAAATAAAAGTGTTATTCCACTGGCTAGCAGTAGTCCATGTTGTTTTTACCTAAAATGATTGTAAAATCATAAAATAAATAGAACATTTATCGTTTTGTCGTGAATAACATATTTTATTTCATCTCGAAGCAAGAAAACGTTTATATTTTCACGAATGCTACGCAATCGTGAAAATATAAGTTTTCTTGCTTCTCGATGAAATAAAATATTTTATTCACTCTAAAACGACAAATATCCTCTATATATTCGGATACACATACATAATAAAGAACAAGTACTTCTATGTTTACGGTAGATATATATATGTTTTATTAATTCTTGAAATCTGGTTTATGGGTAAATCTATATCATATATTAATGGCATGTAAGGAATATCGATGTGCGTATCCCGCATATTGGCTAACTTTAGTTCTTATTATATTGCAGCGTTGTATGGATCTGATTTAGCTTGGAAGTGAGAATAGCAACTCTAACAGAAGGCACTGGGTTATTGACAACGCCACAGTGTGTGTAATACACTTAGTGGGAGGACAATGATTTGTTCAAAAAACAAAGAGTTAATCATTGAATGTCACAAGTTTACCTATATTGTTTCTTTCGCCATCATACAGATTCACGTGGGAACTTCTTTTATTTAAGAAATGAAATTGTATTTAATGCTGCGAGGGAAAAAGAATGAACACTACTGCTGAAAGCCAGGATTTTGTTCCATGGAAAATTTCGAAATTTGCCGAAACAATTCTGATAATTTTATATTTTCTCATCACTTTTATCGCGATCAGTGGTAACGGTATTGTGTGTTATTTAGTGTTTGCCTATAAACGAATGCATACCGTGCCTAATTATTTCATCTTTAATTTAGCCCTAAGCGATATATTGGTGGCCATCTTCTGTATTCCGTTCTCGTTTGTTGCGAATTTAAAGAATTATTGGCCCTTTGGTGTGGCAATGTGTCCGGTTGTCATGTATTCTCAAGGAGTTACGGTGTTTTTAAGTTCGTACACCTTGGTGGCAATGAGCATTGATCGTTATTTTGTTATTGTTCACCCGTTTCTCAGACGCATCACAACGAGGCAGACAGTGTTTGTTATAATGGCTATATGGGTTATCTCCCTTGCCATTCCTTTGCCTGCGCTATTGAAATCACAGATTTTATATTTCTCTAATACGAGTGGCCAGTGCCTAGAAATATGGTCGAACAATACGGATAAATATAGATACAGTTTGGCCCTTATGGTGCTCCATTATTTTGGGCCCTTAGCGATTTTAATATTTAGTTATTCAAAGATTGGATTCAATATATGGATTAAAAATTTCCATGGTGATGAGGGCAACAAGAGAAGACTCCAGTTAGCTGCAGCCAAACAAAAGGTAATAATACAAGTTTAGTTTATCATACAAAAATGTACCGCACACATTTGCTTTGTCAATTACACAATTGCCAAGAAACTTTACCCAGACAGCGCCACTACGGCTTACTCTTCTATAGAATCCCAACTTTCAATCGTTCTTTCAGGTGCACCCCAATTTCGAAGGGGTCTTTTACGTACATGTAATGTGTACACGGGGCCGCGGTTTTTCATCTCATACGAACGACTAGACAAGTACCTTACCAGACCCTTCGTCCTGCACCATTGACAAGGGGATAGCATGCTTGAAAATCCCGTAGATCTAATCCCTGTTAGTGTGCCAGCGCTTTACTCGCACGAAGCCATATGACCGGTTCTAGAAAGAAAAAGTACTACTGGCTAAATCATTTCATTCAGCCAAAATTGTTGTCGCAAGACTCGCCAAGATAAACAGTAACCCAGTGAACTAATTGAAACCAATCGATTCTAAACCTGAGAGTTGAAATAAACCAGTTTTCGTTACTTAATTACTTTTTCAATATGGTAGGTAACACTTAAGCAATCGGAATTGGATTTGGCTAGTTTAGATAATTAATATTGTATGTTTAGACTAGAGTAATTAGAGTCCGTCTAGTATATACTATAGCTTTTTAATGAGAACTCCCCATTTCAAACTGATTGTATTCACTACCGTTGAGAATGAAGGAATGAAATGGGGATTAATGTCCTACCTTTCTGCACCAACGGGGCTAATAAAGACGGGGGGGGGGAAGGGAGAGAGATAGGGTTTAACGTCCACTCGATACAAACAGGTCATTTCGGGACTAACACACGGTGCAATTTTATTTCAAAAACACGGTGCAATTTTATTTCAAAAACACGGTGCAATTTTATTTCAACAATTCGCTTGCGCGTAGGGGTATTTAGCAGTGGGAGGAAACCGGAGGACCTGGAGAAAACCCACGAGGTTGGACAGGCGACCCTACTCCTTGTCACATACAACCGGTGTGTCGAAACCACACCAGTTGAATTAATGACAGACCTTATGATACAGCGCGCACGTCAAAACCATTCGGCCATCCATGCCAACAATAAAGACGGACATACGCCCAACTGATTGAATTTGCCATCGTAGAGAACCAAGAGAGAAATATAAGCTAACAGATTAGAATTTGGAGATACACTTCTTCTGCGGTTAGGAGCCACGGTGGCTAGTTGGGTAAGGCGCTGGCTCGCTAGCCTGGATGTCGGGTGTTCGATCCCTGCATTGGCCGAGAAAGTTCATCACGATTTTCCGACGTGGTTTCCCCTTGTCAGTGATGCATGCAGGACGGAGTGCCTGACAAGGACAGCTGTCTAGTCCTTCGGATGACACGAAAGACCGAGGTCCCGTGTAAACATTGGAATGCACGTAAAAGATCCCTTGGCAGTTGGAATTCGATATAAGAGTAGGCAATAGTGCCGCTGCCCGGACAAAATTTCCCTCATAGCACACTGTATGGCGTATGCCCGTCTTCATTAGCCCAGTATAGGAGCAGAACAGTAGGATGTTAAACCCCATTTCATTTCATTTCATTTCTTCTGCGGTTATTTAATTATGCAATACTACTCTCGACTGGCTTTTGGTAAGGGGGAATCACTAAAAGCGTGTTAGCAGTACCGGATCTAGGGGGTGGGGGGCAAAGTGGGACAAATGTCCCGCCCCCCCCCCCCACACACACACAATTCTGGGTCATACTAATATTTTATCCCGGACGGAGCCAACCAGTACCTGGGCTGAGGGGGCGAGGATAGGGGCCCTGGGCAGTAAGGGATATTGGGGGCCCCGGGACTGGTAGGTACCAACAGATTTTCGGGGGCCCAGGAAATCGCTGCCTAAATTGACTCAGATGCACTGAAATTAATTCTAATTTAAAAAAAAGATCCTGGAGGAAAACACCCCAATGGGCCCCCCACAAGGTTAATCCGGCACTGCGTGTTAGGCCTTGTTTATAAACTTTCAAATAAGACATTAAAAAGGTGTGCTAACTCTGCCTCGTGCACTACACCACTGACTGGTTTGAAACGAAATGAAATGGAGATTATCGTCCTACTCTTAGCAACAATCGTGTAAAAATGAATGCAATGTGCTTTGATGGAAATATCGCCTGAACAGAGGCGTTTACGCCCAATCTTGAATTCAAACTGTCAAGGGTTCTTTTAAGTGCACGTTGTTTTTTGCATGACACTGGAATTCCCGAGGAACCTTCTCGGCTAACACCAGATGTGAACCTTTGACCTTCTGGTTTATCAGCTAGCTACTTATTCACTGAACCACCACAACTCGCTAACTGTTTATATCCAGTGAGTGATTGTTGGGACTTGAAGCTACTGGATGGAAAGTAAATCCATGCCAATAGGCCACGTACCTGATATCAGATATACAAAGGACGAAGCTACTGCTTGGCTTATTGTCTGGCAACAGACCCTTAATTTTGAACTGTTTCATTTTAAGTAAAATTGATTTACACATTATTACATTTAAATATTTGTGAGTGTTAATGCAAATGACTGACAAACTATCTTTGATTTGTTTTACTATATTATACAAAATGAAGACTATTTACACCAAACTGGTAATAATAGAAAAATCTGGCTCTGGGATGAAATAAAACGAAATGGGGTGTGGGGATCACGTGGCTAAGTGGGTAAGACGCTAGCTCGCTAGCCTGGAGGTCGGGTGTTCGATCCCTGCATTGGCCGAGAAAGTTCATCCAGATTTTCCGGCGTGGTTCTCCCTTGTCAGTGATGCAGGATGGAGGGGCTGACAAGGAAAGCTGTCTAGTCGTTCGGATGGGACGAAAAACCGAGGTCCCGTGTACACTTTGGCGTGCACGTAAAAGATCCCTTGGCAGTTGGAATTCGATATAAGAGTAGGCCGTAGTGCCGCTGCCCGGGCAAAATTTCCCTCATAGCACACTGTATGGCGTATGCCCGTCTTCATTAGCCCAGGTTAGGAGCAGAACAGTAGGACGTTAAACCCCATTTCATTTCATTTCATTTACGAAATGGGGTGTAACATCATACAGTTCGTACTGTTCTACTCCGACTGGACTAATGAAGACGGGCATGCTGTGTGCTATGAGGGAAGTTTTACCCGGACAGCAGCGCTGCGGCCTACTTTTATTTCGAATTCCAACTTTCAAGGGATCTCTTACGTGCACGCCAATGTGTACACGGGGCCTCGTTTTTCGTCTATACGTTGTTCCTTGCCAGGCCCTACGTTCAACACCACTAACAAGGGGGAACCACGTTTAAAACCCCCCGATGAACTTCTCCGCCAACGCAGGGATCGAACACGGGAACTCCAGGTTAGTGAGCCAACGTATTATTATATTACTCATTGAACCACGTGGCTCCTATCTGGAATAAAAAGGAACTGACTTTGTACCATATTATTGATGTAATGGTTACTTTCATACATTTCTAACTATGTTTACAGTGTATGTGGGAGCCGAAGTGTGTCAATGAGTAAAGCTATGGCTCGCTAACCAGAATTTCCGGATTAGGTTCCGGTGTGGGTCGAGAAAGTTTCTTGGGGATTTCCAGCAGGGTGGAATTAAAAAAAAGAGTAGTCCGGAGTGTCGACCTCCGGGCTAATTTCCCTCACACGTAACCAAATCTTATTTAGAGGTTCAAGCCCCGAGTGGGTAGAAAGAAAGAACTGTATCTTTGTATAATGAGTCCTTTGGCTACGATAGCTCTGTGCCAAGATCTTCAATAATCTTGTATCATCATTAGCCTCAAGACATTATCTCGATCACTGATTGAACTTTATTGACCACGCATAAAGTTAAGAACTTGTACTCAATATCCACGCGGGGCTGGATGGCCGAATGGTTAACGCGTGCACGTTGCTTCATGATGTCTGTCTTTGAGTCAAGTGGCGTGGTTTCGATTGTACGTAACAATGAGTATGGTCGCCTGTCCAACCCCGTGGGCTTTCACCCAATGCTAAAGACCCCTACGCGCAAGCGAATTAATGAAACAAAGTTGAATCATGTGTTAGTCCCGAAATGACCTAGTTTGTGTCAAATGGACGTTAATCTCTCTCTCTCTCTCTCTCTCTCTCTCTCTCTCTCTCTCTCTCTCACACACACACACCATCCCACACTTAATCCAAACCGCCTATACCTGTTTGTCTGTAAATATCTGTATTAAAAAAAAATATATTAGTGCCTTAAATTGGACTTTCACCAGTAATGCTGAAGTTGCCAAGAGAATAATGATAATCCTACGTTTCTTTCTTTGCGTATCGATCAGGAATAATGTGACAAGCGCGATTAAAACTTATTACACCTCTATCAAGTGATTAGTGTGTGAATGGACACTTATTCTTCATGTTTTAATATTACTTCGAGCGTCTTTAATAGGGTCCATTGATAGAGGATTTCTTTCACTTCATATTAATATTATCACTTCATTAGTAGGTTGAAGTATCCGATGAACTCGCGCCTCGGGTCATGTCTGCTTGGTATAATAGTCAATGAGTTATCTATCTTATCTTGGTTATCTTAACGTTATTTTATCGCAGAGTCATTCAATTATGTGTACTGGTTAAAGGTCCAATATGTATTGTGCTAGGTGAATGACAAGAGTAACAGTTACCACAGAAGGGGAGTGGGGGGACAGTGACTCAGTAAGCGAAACCCTGGCTCGCTAACCAGGAGATCTCGGGCTCGCTCCCGGTGTTGGCCGCGTAATTTTCTCTTGTCAGTGGGGCTGGCAAGGACAGTGTCTAGTCCTTCGGATAGGACGAAAAACTGCGGTCCCGTTTACACAGTGGTACAAACGTAAAATAACACTTGGCAGTTGAAATAAGAGTAGGCCGTAGCGCCGCTTTCCGGGCAAAATTGTCCCCATAGTACACTCTATGGCGTATTGCCGTCTTCATTAACCCAGTCGGTGCAGAAACATAGGGCCTTAAACCCCATTTCATTTCATTTATGTAAAGGAAACCCTTGTCAACGAGAGGTGGCAAAA